CCCCCTGGACCTGGGGCTGTGTCCCGCTTGTGTCCGAGTGCCGGGGAGGCGGGCCGCGTGTTTCCGGATGGGCCCGCGGGCGCCTTCCCAGAGCTGGGGCTCGGCAGGGGCCCTCCGAGCTAGGATCTCCCCGGGAACCCGGCCCCGAGGCCGCAGCCCGCCGTGCACCCCCGCTCTGCCTTCTGCGCGTGGCGGGGGAGGCTAAGCGGCTTTTCTCCGCGACCGGCCGGCAGGGGCAAGCGCAGCTTGGGCTCCGGAGAACGCAGCGGCGCCGCTCTCCCTGACGCCGGCCTTCCTGGCCGCCACCCTTCTCACCCGGGAGACACGGCTCCGCACGGGCGCTGGCTGGCCTCCGGGCCAGCTGGCCACCACACTCTGCCCTCAGGGCAGCGGGAGCGCCGGCCTGCTTCTCCCAGGCTGGGGCTGGGCAGAGCACAGCGTTGGAACAGGGAGGGAAACTGAGGCTGAGCTGACCGAATGGGCCGCTCGGGCCAGGGCCGGAGGGCCCAGCTGCTCCCACCTGGCTTGACTGCGTGTGCACCCCACATCCCCCAGGAAAGCCGTTGTCCCCGTCCTCTGTCTTGAGGTTGTAAGGCCTGTGCCGTTAAGTCCCACAAGGCGGTGTGGAGGAGTTCAGGGGAGGGGACCCTGGCCGAGGGCGGCGCCGTCCCTCGAAGCCCAAGGCACCCCTTTTGCCTGCAGGCTCCCGGTTGATGTTATCATTCTCCAAGTAGCTGTGCAAGCTGTATCTCTGCTCCAGGGCCTCGCTGACCTCCTGTGTGTACACTGCGCACACCCAGCCAACGTGCAGGGCGCCTTTCCCCAGCGGGCTGGTGCGTGGTGTAGCACGTGACCCTGTGCAGGGAACACTGTCTCCTGCTGGGACCCGAGATGCACAACCCGGTCCGCCCACTCCTGGTCTTGTCACAGGCTGTCTTCTTCCCCGGGCTATTATGGGGCTGCGATGTCACCTGTGGGTGTACAGAGGCTGGGACACACGGCCACCCGTCACCTAATTTCCCCAGAACCCCTGAACTGAAGGTTTCAGCCCAGTGACGCCCTTTGTGCGAATCCCCGAAAGGGGATTGGTTTGGGGTTGTGTGGTGTGAATGCAGGAAGATAGGAAGGCAGGAGCGGCCCAAGACACCACTTCTAGCCTGGCACCTTCCCGTGCCAGAAGAAGGCGGCTGGGGGCGGAGTGGGTGGGACTCGGTGGCCACTGGCGTTTGCCTTGGCTGCCGGCACTGGGGGCTGTTGAATGGAGGCCTTGTGCTTTTTTATTTTATAGGCTCCTTTTGGCTAAAGAAGCTCATTATAAAAGCCATGAGTGTTGGCTTGTAACAAATTCAAATGCAGGGAAAAAGAGAACGTTCCTTGTACTTTATCCCCCTCTTCAGATATGTCTTGCCATCCTGGGCTTGTATAGACGGGCTTGAATTTGAAGTCCTCCTGCCTCGGCCTCCCAGAGTGCTGGGATTGCAGGCACGAGCTACTGTGCCCACAGCACACCCACACATCTTTATCTCACAGGGTGCTGGGGA